TAATATTATGCAGTTTTATATTTAACCATGGTTATTTTATAGGACTCGGAGAATGCGGCCATGATGCGTTTAGAGTTTTTAAAATACGGCAAATTGAATTTTTATGATGTTCAAAAACGATTTATGTATAAACTTAAGCAAGAGTATGACCAAGATATGAATATCATGGACTTGGTAATTAATAGTTATACAATATTTGTTATATTCTTTATTATACAGTAAAAACTTGTTTTACAGTTAACGGGTATAATACTGTTTAATTCTGATATACCAAATTTGAAACAACCAGATCAAATCAAGTAAGTGATCATGGTAATAATTTATTTATTAACTAACAATATAAATGTAATGCTTGTCTATAGGCATCAAAGGGAGACATTCATGTATTTACTTAAACGATATTTAGAGGTAAAACATAACTCAAAAACAGAGGCAGAGATACGGTTCACACGATTAATGAATTGTCTGCAAGACTTGTATTCAGTAAAAACAGTTATGTTAAGCAATTATGTCTCAATTGAACCAAAGAATAAGCACGAATTAATCACCGAGATCATTTCACAATAATACACAATAATAATCGTATAATATTTAACATTTTAACATTTGTGGCCAAAAAAATAAGTATCATAACTATTATAACAATAATTGTTACAATTGTTACAATTATTGTAAGTCAGCCCAAGTATAAACCTATTAAAGTATCTTGTTTAAAATTGTAAATCATAATTTACATGTAAATGATAGGTGTTTTGTATTATGAAAAATGATTAATGTTTGTAATTAAATTATTTAATATTAGAAATTGTTATTTTTGAAAATGTATGTTTGCAAATTATTTAAAGTTTTATTTGTATTTGAACTAGTTATTAATTGTGAAATTACGGTATATTCATATTAATAACAAAGTGTTACCATAAAGTAAATTTATATTTATTGCATTTAAAATGAACTAATACTATATATCAATATTTGCCAATTATTACAAGTATTTTGTAAATTAAAAAATGCGCTCAAATTAAAGCCCAGACAAGAGATGGCATTCAAAAGCAGTAAATAATTGAGTGTTTATTGAAAAGTAAACTGAATTTAAAGTACAGTTTGTCTGACAATACAGTAATAGGCATAACATCGCGGCTGACCTTCACTCCAATGAATGGCATTTACTGTCACTTTTTGGGTTCACTTTTGGGTTAGAGTTTTGGGTGTTTTGTAAACAAGAGTTGCTTTGAGTGTAAATAAAGTGCAAAACAACTGAAATCAATGTTTATGTTTGCATTTATCACGTGTGAAGTGAAGTGACATATCTTTCATATTGGGATCAACTCTTGTGGCAATATTTTTGCGGTCATATATCGGGAAGCAATGGCCGAATCGGTTGACAAGACATGTGGTGTTTGTGGCGATAAAGCCATCGGTAATTATCTGTCGTTTTTATCATGTTTTTTAAGTTTTATAACTTTTGTTTTGTTTGATTTAATTGTGTTTTGTTTTGTTAATTGTGTCGATATTTAGCCCGAAATTTCTGCGCCTATTCTTGTGAGTCATGCAAAGCATTCTTCCGGAGAAATGCCAACAATTTTGAGGTGATTTTTGTGATGATATTCAATGGTTTCGCTGAAGACTTATCTGAAGTGATGTCTTGTTTTCATAGGAAATGAAGTGCTATTTCGGCGACAAATGTCCGATGAATGTCGAGATGAGGACTGTTTGCCGCAAATGTAGACTAAGGAAGTGTTTCGCAATCGGAATGAGAAAAGTATTGACAAAAATTAACTTTTGTTTTAAACTTTTTTGTTTGTTTATAAATCAATAGATTATTGATTTGATGTAATGTTGTATTGATTTATAGGAATGGATATTAAATGCTGACGAGAAGGAGAAAAGGAGGCGTAAAGTACTGCATAATCGGCAAAAACGCGGTAAAAGTGATGCTATAAATGGTAGTGAATCCGACACTACGACAACGACGGCGACCACCACTTCGGCTAATCAGCCATCGATTGCCACCCAATGTGTGGAGACATTAGATTTGGTGCACATATTAGAGGACAAAGACATAAGTCTAGAGAAACTTGATTTAGAGATCAAACAAATCGAGAGTTGTTTATCGGATGCGAGACCTGTTGCCGACAATAGTGGCCAAGAAGTGATGCAAATGTCGGTGACATCAATGCCGAAACACATACCAAACGACACGTTCACTTCGATGGAGGGCATGAAGTTTACAGAAGTGATGGCCGTTACGGGTCTTATTCGCATACAAATGGCCGACACTAGCGTCCAGTTATACAACGAGTTGGATGTGATTAAAGCATTGATGGATAAGTTTGATGAAGGGATCAGAGAAGTGGTGCTGGCATTCAAAAAGTTTAATCCGTTTCAAAGTCTGTGCAAAAGCGATCAAATCTCGCTCTTCAAGTCGGCGGCCACTCCTATGAGTGTTATCCGTGCCGTTCATTGCTATGACTACGAGTCCGAGAATCTGGTCATTCCTCTGGTATTTATTTAATTATTATATATTTTGGATAATTATTTTGTTGATATTTAATTAATTTTTAATGATTAATGTAAATTTAATTACATTGAATACAGAATAGTTGCAGCACTCGGGCTGATTTGAAATTATTTCAGGGCTACACTTATAATATGTATTTTACGATAAGGCAAATGTTCAATAATTATGCGCGAGAAATTGATTCAGATCAAACAATTTTGGATTTGGTAATTTGAATATTTGACCATGGTTGTCATATTAATTTTATATTGATTATATGTTTTATTACCCTAATTATAGTTAACAGTGATTGCGTTGTTTGATTCAAGTGGTGTCGATGTAGTCCATAGGAAAAACATCAGGTGATGGCAATTGAATTGCATTTGATTTGATGGTTATTTTTAATTGTTGTTATGTGTTAATAGACTTCAACGCGAGATTTACAAGTATTTACTGCAACGGTATTTAAAGCTGAAGTACGGCTCGGAAATTGAGGCCAAATCCAAGTTTACAACACTTATGAAAAGCATGAATGAGTCGAAGAGGTTCTGTCAACAGCTAATGATATACTTCTTGAATGCCTTGCCATCCGATGTGAGTCCACTCCTCAATGAGATCTTTGATAGAGTGCCTCACGATATGCACAATCAGTCCATGTGTTTGGATTTAGACTCTTTCTAATATTTGATTGTATTATTTATTTTATATTGTTCATTTTGATATGATGTACACATTGTATAATAGTATTACCGTAATACCTGGCTTAGAAATGCATGCAATACTAAGTCAATATCAGTAAAGGGGTGCAATACTATCTAGGTAAGATTGCACTCTATTTTAGGGCAATTGGAATTTTTGTTGAAAATGACATAATATTGCATTAATTTATATGCTTTTATAAAAACAGTACAATTGTTTTAAAAGTCGTTTTGCCTAAAAACTTTGGCTTAACGATTGAATATACATTTCTTGCCAAACATTGCGTTTAATTAGAATAGAAAGTCCTGCAATTTTGAATTGCTTGCAAATTCTGACATAAATAAAGTGATAAACATTGATATAAGTAATAATGACTTGGATTTAATGTTAAATAGTAGCGAATGTAATTCAGACACAAAGTTGACCACAAATAATGTGGCCAAAGATATGTCTAAGGTTTTTAATTTTCGGGAATTCCCGAATAAAATAGTTAACAAAATCATCGGGAATTATATACCATTAGGTTTAGGGGTTATAATAAACCAAAAATATATAAGTTTTATTTTCCCGATTTTGGCTTATTTTGGGAAAATTCCCGATTTTAGCATATTTTTGAGAAAATTCCCGAAAAGTCTATATTTATGACAAATATTCCCGAATTTAGATATTATTCGATGAAAATTATTTATTTAATAAC